CGGGGGCAAGGCGGTGATCGACGCCGTGGGGAGGCTGATGAAGCTCGACGCGGAGGTGGTCGAGCCTGCGAGGATGTGCCTGCATAGGTTCGGGAACACGTCGAGCAGCCTGGTGTTTTACGAGCTGGCGTATTTTGAGGCGAAGAGGAGGATAAAGGAAGGGGACAGGGTTTGGATGCTGGCGTTTGGGACTGGGTTTAAGGCCTGCAGTGTTGTGTGGAGGGCGCTGAGGGATTCTCGGGTCGACCCGGATAATCCCTGGAGGGATTGCATCCATAGGTACCCTGTTTAATTTGAATTTGTGTCCGAATAATTACTTGGTCTCTTGTTAAGAGAGCTTTAATTATACATTGGTTTCATAAATGAAAGTTTATGGATGGGGTTACAGCTGGTGTCTGTGGTTTAATTGAGGACAAAATGCTGTTAGTTGACTGTTTATGTTGTTTTAAAGATTACTAGATGGGATGCACGTGCGTTGCTGTGCGTGGTCAGATATCTTTATCGTGTTTTTTTTTCGAGTTTACGTTTTTATTATAAATTAATCGGTATTGCAAAGTATTTTATGGTATGGATTTGGTGGTAAAGAGTCGAAGCAAGAGAAGTACACTAGTTCTTATAATTAAGTTTTTAAACCAAATTTAATAATATATATATATATATATATATATATATATTTCTATTTATTTCCAAAATGCAATTCCAGAAGATGTATTAATTAGTTGAAATTTTTCATATTGTCAGATGCATGAGACCTGCTTGTTTTATGTTTTGAGTTTACTTCAGAAGCAAAAAAATGAATAATGTTATAATTTTTTGATAGAATAACGAAAAAAGTTTTCTTGAACTAATGAAATAGTTTTTTATTGTTAAATTAAAGTTTGTTGTATAATTTGAAAAGTTTGGTTGCGGATGTATTTATAGAAAGCTTTGAGGAGTTATATGTGACATGTTATATAATTTATTGAAAATTTTAATTTTAAATGCAAGTATAGAGAATATTTCAGGATTTATTTGTAAGTTTCACATCATTAGGACTCTAGACTGAGCGCACTATAAGTTCACTATAAAAAATGGATATCTCCCAATTTGAACATCGCGTTCAAAACTCAAAAGAATATTTTCACATCCGGCCACATTACCCATCAACTTAGTATAAACTCTGCAAAGTTTCTCTTTGGATATTTTACAAATTAATACTAAAACACAAAACCCATCATGCGCATTTGCAACATGTGATTCAAATTCCAAGAAGACTTTTATTCGTAATTGATAAAAATTTAAGCCGTTTATGCTAATTCACACGTACAATATCCAATTGAAAACATATTATAAGAAAGGGGTTTTCTATAGAGTGCCCATGTGCACTCTATTAGAGAGGAGAGAGATAGAGAGAAATGAATTGCTTATGGGCCCTAAATTCTATGTGCGTAAAACTTTTTGGCTTGCGGTCCACCCGCGAGTCCCCAACTCGTAGTGAGGGGTACAGGGACAGTGGGCCCCACAACAGGAGCCCACTGCCCCTATACCCTCACTGAGAGTTGGGTGGCTCGCGGGTGGACCGCGAGCCAAAAAGCAGGACTCATGATCTAGAGTATGAGGAAAGTGAGCTATTGATAGCGTGGTACGTAGTGTTTAATTGGCTGTCGACGTGGGCCTTGTTGTTCTCTTCTGAAGCATTAAGGTTCCAAGAAAAGAAACACCGTACAAAAATGTATAATGCGAGTTATAAGATCCAATAGCTTCCCAAAATAGTGAAAGAAGGACAGTGATGTTATTGTGCGTGGACCCTCAAATTTGATTGAACTTGTCAAGCTGCCGATCTTTTTTTATTTGGGCTGTGCTAAACGATGTTCAGGTGAAGTTGTTTGCGCACTAGACTGTTAGTTCTCACAATTATGGTTGATTTTTAGGAAAATGAGTGGGGCAGTGGATCTTTTCAAGTCTAATAATCCCAAGTAGTACGATAACACCACCCCCACCCCGCACCCCCCCCCAACCCCACCCACCCACACACACACACCCCCAATCCGAAAAGTTCTGCGACTGTTTCATTTTAATCGATTAAATAGTTCGGACTAACCCCTTCGAAAATTTGAACTAAACACCCCCCCACTGTTTAATTCTAAGGGACAGAGACTTATTATCATGTAATAATACTCAATCTGAACATGGCCTAAAGGTTTTCTTCATGTTTATAACCGTAAATGACACGAGAAATTCTTTAAATAACACCACTTATAAAATCTACACCCGAAATATAAAATGTAATACTGTTTTCTTTAAGATTGTTAACTACTGTGTAAATGAAAGTGAGCATAAATTCTTAGTTAATTAGCCCTATTAGCTAAGGACAACCTGCAAGTGCAAGATTAAAGTAGATAAAGATTATATAAGCCGAGAGAAGAACGGCATAAGCCAATTATATACAAAATAGAGCTCTGAACCTGAAAATATAGAATATAATCACAATTAAGGAAATAAAAGAATGCATTATAGTATGTCAAGTGTATAACACCTAGCAACAAGTTTCTATTTACGTTCCATTTTCTAAGAATTCTCTGAACAAGTAAATAATCAGATAGCTCGCTCATACCTAGTTAAAAATGTGTTGAACGCCACTTGGACCAACTTATTTTCTACAAGCACCAAATTTTTTGCCCCTGCATACAAAACCATCTTCAAGCGCAAGTCAAATATTATTTTCCCCCATGCCCTTTCTGTCTGAACCTGCAAAGATTAGGCAAAAAGTACAAATCCAAACAAAAATTATTAAAAGAGTAAGAGAAAATAAAAATAACTAACATGCATACAAATCAAATCGTAGAAATATTATAATCCTTTGGTCCAAGGAATAAATTTTCACCTTTACTACATATAGCAAGATCTTACGGGTGAAACCTTAACAATTAAAAAGACAAATCTTAAAAATACGAAAATAAAAATCAAACAATTTGATCATACAACTCATATGAAGCTCGCAATCGACGCCATGACCTTCATGATCACAAGAATTTTCAAGGAACTAGGAACTAATATCGAAAGAGGAAGACTCCTCTGACTTTCTTTAACTCCATACATACATAGGAATTCAATTACATTATTTATTAATTTGGAGATAAGGAGAGTTGAGAAGTCTAATTGTGAATGAGTTTGAGAGACCAATTTGTTGTGCGCAGCGGAAATTTCGGCAGAGTTTCTGGTGCACAATAAGAGGGAAAGACCGATAAGAATTCTTGTTTCTCAAAGGGAACAAGAATCTGAAAGCCTAATATCCCATCAAAGTAGGATATTTGCTCTTCCTCTCGTCAGCTCTAGGACTGCGCGTCGAGGGATCCTAAAACTATTACAATGGCCACAAACTCAAACAATCAATTTTACATGGTTCGACAAACTGCCTACGTCCACGGGGCAAGGAGGGGGATCTACTATTATAGAGAAAAAAAGAATACAAATGGGTTTACAACTCTCACAATCTAAACCCTCGAATAGGCTCCTTGCTTTTCTTCACAAGAAAAGGTCAGGCACCAAATACTTTTTCTCTCTTCACAAAACCCTAGGATTTTTCTCCAAAGCCAAGCTCTCTACAGCCGCACCTATTCTCTGCAGCCGCACCCCTGACTTTTCTATCCCCACTTTTCACCTGCACCAAGCCCTAGGGAAGAAAACGCGGAGGTATTTATATCTCAAGTTGAGATATTCGGGTTGGCCATCACCACACGGAAACAAACCGCGTTCGTTGCTGCTCACGCACATCCGTGGCCCCCACCAAAGCGGAATCTCCTTTCATGCATTCACATTGAGAACGTGGTGGCCCACGTTCACAATTCTCCACCTCGGCGAAGTTTTTTCAAAACTGAGCCGACACCAACCAAACCAATGTCTCACTTGTTGCGTCCAGTATGCCACGGCAACGGACTCAATCTATAACAAGTCGAGAACCCAAATGAGAGTGCAAACACTCTCCAAACGTCGGTATCTACTCACCAAATCGATCTCACCCCCCATCAAAATCCAAACCCGGCTGCATCTAAGGACTGCCTACGTATCCTCTTGCCCAAGGAATCAAGCCGAACGTAGTTCACCCAAATGGCCTCCAAAGGCCTCAATCCAATAGAAGAGTTCGCAACCCTTCTCCAATATCACGATCAAGTCTGCGACTGATAGCACCTCCAATGGCCTCAAACACCTCCACCTGAGGTGAACCAATGGTCATATCCAAACTGCATCTATCAGCTGCACTCGAGTCAAAACCCAACTCATCATCTGCATCTGAATCCAAATGACTTCCACGCTGTGTCACCTCAGCTGGAATCCCAACCAATGCAGAATGACCTAGAGTATGTGGGAAAATCCCCACCCAATATGGAGTAGCATCAGTCTCCACCTGCTGCGATACCTCTAAGGTCTGTCCAAAACTCTCCACCTGCTGAGAGTCAATTAGCTCCCTCATTGAAGCCTCAACCAAAGTGACACTACCAGACCTATCTTCTAATGAAGTTTTACCTCCAATCACAGCAGTTGACAACTCTATAATAGGATGACCCAAATATGTCGAAGCCTCAGTCCAAAAACTCTTCTGCAAACCATTGCTCGACCACAAACACCGATCCTCCTCCAGAAAGGCACGATTCTCCAAATTTGTCACCTTATCAAGTTGCCCCAAGATTTCCTTTCCAACGAAGTGTCTCGAAATGCCGTGAGCTCGGCTCCAATACAGAAACAGGTCCATCTTGTACCTCCCACCAGAATGGAGTACCTTTACCTTTCTGTCTATCACACACTTCTTCAATCTGTTGGATACTACTAGGACTTTCTCCAAAGGGGATTTGGTTGCAACCCAAACACGCCTAGAACAGCCACCAACAAAGGAAACCAAACTTCTATTACCTCCCAATGATGCCCCCTTGGAAGGCCCCCAAACATCCACGTGAACTTCTTTAGAACGACCCTTAGCTCGGTGAATAGAGGTGCCACACTTCACCTCGGTCTTCTTGCTCACATCAACATGTTCACTGAACTTCAAACTGCAGGTCTTCGCACCCTCTTTCAATCTATACGAGGAATCAATACTGGAATGGCCAAGCCCCAAATGCCACAGTCTAGTCGAATCAACAGAAGTCGTCAGCTCTCTACCTGCCACTATACCTCCAGTCAAGTAATACAGGTTATTTCTCCTGACGTCCTGCATCAAAATACGAGAGTCTCTCGCAATCTCGAGAACCATATCCTCAACACGAACCTTCAGACCCTCTCCAACCAAAGCTCCAATCGAGATCAAGTTCTTCCTCAAAGAAGGAACATATCTCATATCGTTTAACTCTCTAACAGTCCCGTCAAACATCTTTATGCGAATTCTTCCTATCCCAAGGATCTGGCATGCACGGTTATCAGCCATGTACACCACACCACTATCCACCAGCTTCTCAAAACTGGAGAACCATTCCCTTCTAGGGCACACATGATAGGTCGCACCACTATCCAACATCCATTCAGATTCCTCC